CCAAACCCACCCTCTCAGGCTCTCTGCTAGTATCAGCCTTAGCCTGCCAAAGGCAGATCTGCCCTGGGGCCTTTGGAGGAGCCTCACAAAATCCCAGATAGTGGGATGGTGGTGCAGTTAGGGGAATGTCACCACCTCGTGGAGGTAGGATCTGGGGGCTGTCAGGCTCGGTGGACATGAATTCTTTCAGCCTGTTTGTATCGTTGAAGATTTTTCTTTCCCCTTCAACTATGATGACAGGTTTGCTGGGTAAAATATTCTGGGTTGGCATGTATGGTTATTTAGTACCATTAATAGTTTATTCTGGGCTCTTCTGTCTTTTGTAGTTTTCATCAAAATCAACTATAATTCTGGTCAGTTTTCTCTATATGTAACTTGTTTATCTTTTGCAGCTTTCAGTACCCTCTCTTTGTTCTGTACATTTAGTGTTTTTACTATGATATGCGGCACTGAGTTTCTGTTCTGGTCCTGTCTAATTGGTGCTCTGTGTGCTTCTTGTATCTGTATAGGTATGTCTTTCCTTAATTTAGAGAAAGGTTTTTCTGTAATCCTGTTGAAAATCTGGTCAGTGCCATTGACCTGGAATTCTTCCTCTATGCCTATGATGTATAGATTTTGTCTTTTCAGGTTGTCCCACATTTTCTGCAGATTCCATTCCTGTGTCTAATTTTTTTTCATTTATTTTGCTTGAGCAGTCTAGTTCAACTTTGTCATCTACTCTTTGATATTTTGTTTTTCATATCATTCATTCTGTTTATGAGGCTTTTCCTGTTGTTTCAAATTGACTTTTTTGAAATTTTCAATTCCACCTTCATTTTGGCTTGTGTTTTCTTCAATATTTCTCTCTCTTTTGTGAATTCACTTTTCAAGCCCTGAATTGTCTTTGTCATTTCATTCAGCCATATAGTCTTATTTTCTTGACCTTTAGTCAGAAGTTTATTCCTATCCTCTTTGAGTTGTGTGTTCTTTAAAGTTATTCTTTGATCATATTTATGACTGTTCTTTTAAATTCTGCATCCTGGGTTTCCTCTGGGTAGTTCTCATTGTAGTACACTTTTGTAGGACCGTGGGTTTTGGTGGGGATATATTATTTGTGTTTCTTATTGTGGTTTGGGCATATGGATTTCTTTTGTTGGTTGTGTATCTAATATGAAATTTTAGCCTGTCTTTGTTTAGTTGAAGTTTGGTTCTGTTGATGAAGCTTGCTTGCTTGCTGGTTCGGTATGACTTTTTTTTTTTCATTTTAGCTGGACAGGAATGGTCCATGCTGGCTAGTCAAGAGCTCTCCAGGGGGTTGCATGGTCCTAGGCCCAATTTGAGACTACAGGGATCCAGTGGCTGGGTTCTGGCTGGCTAGTCAGGAGGTCTCTGGCAAGAGGATCAGGATGGGGCCTCTAGCCAAGGCGGGATAGATACAGCCTGGGGAGGTTCTAACTAGCTAAGCAGAATCTCCACTCTTATTTTGGAGAGTTTGTGTGTGTAAGTGTAGGGGTGTGTGTGTGTGTGTGTGTGTGTGTGTGTGTGTGTGTGTATGCGCACATGCATGCTTGTGCTTGTGTGTGTGTGCACTCTGTGTATGTAGGCCAGAGGACAACCTTGACAGTTGTTCTTTAGGCACCTTTCACATTTTGTCGTTTTTGAGATAACAGTCTCTTACTGGCCTGGAACTCATCAAGTAGGCCAGGCTGACTGACTAGCAAGCTCCAGCTGCCTGTCTCTGCCTCCCCAGGGTTAGACTAAACAGAGTGAGCCACCATGCCTTTTCTTATTTTTAAAAACAAAACGCATGGGTTCTGAGGATTAAACTCAGGTCTTCAGGATTGCAAGATGGGTACCTTAATACCTGATAAACCTGAGCTATCTTTTCCCTAGTCCTAGAAAATTATACTTTTATGCTCTTTAATAGTATATGTACTTGAAATATCAAGCTGTGGAGTATGAGTTGCTACTGCCACTTGGAGGGATTCTAGGGCACTCACAAAATGAGAGCAGTAAGTTTCCCTGCCTCATGTGCCTAGTCCTTGAAATGTTTTGGACATTGTTAAAGATCATATTCTTAGTCTTTAAACTTTTTCTTTTTGCATTTTCTTGTTTGTGTGTGTATATATGTATGCATGAGGGGACGTTAGGGGGCAACTTGTGAGTCAGTTCCTTTCTTCTGCTACGTGGGCCCTGGGGATTCAACTCGGGTCGTCAGGCTTGATAGGAAGTACCTTTTCTCTCCGAGCCATCTTGTCAGCCCCCACATCTGTGGTCTTTACACTGAAGTATTTCTTGTCAAGAAATCTGAGATCTTGCCTCTTCATGTGCTGAGTCTCAGAGGTGCCTCACCATTGATCACCTGACAATATACAAAAGAGAAATGCAAAGATTATGTTTCTTTCATTTTGATTTTAAAACTTCAAATCTTAAAAGTGAAGACTTTTGAGTGTTTTATTAATTTAGCAGATGGAAAATATATTTAAACTTTTTAAGTGAAACAATTACTAAGTTGTTTCTTGTTTTTGTCCATACAATTCAGGCTGAGAGGTCTATGCTTCAGTCTGTTTTGCTTAAGCTTTCAAATTTCCTTTGACAGCCTGGATGTGAAATTCACGAGCCATTAATGTGATGTGTTAATTTTGCACTTTTTGACTTACTGGAAAAGTCTTATGGTTTCCATAGAAACGATAACCTATCCAGATTGTGTAATATTCTTTACAGTATTTTTAATAAAAATATTTTTAATGAAACTGAAATTACATGAATTTCTGGAGCACTTCATTTAGGAGTACTGGGAATTGAAAGATTTCTATTGAAAAGTCATGATTATATGTGAGAAATTTGTCAAAAAGCTTTTATAACTTTGTTTTAAGAAAGAATAACTTTAGCTGGATGTGGTGGCACATGCCTTTAATCCCAGCACTTGGGAGGCTGAGGCAGGTGGATCTCTGTGAGTTCAAGGCCAGCCTGGTCTCCACATCGAGTTCTGGGTCGGGCTACAGGGAGACCCTGTCTCAAAAAAGAACAAAAAAAAAAAAAAGAAAAGAAAAGAAAAGAAAAGAAAGAATAACTTTAAGTATTCAGTAGTAGATACCCAGTAGTTAATTAGACATTAAACATGTGCATTATAAGCATGTGCCAGAACATCACAAGCACACGGGCTCTCACATGTTCAGTTGTACCCACCATACTTGAGGTAGGAGAAGACATGCTTTAATTACTTAGAGTCATCTTACGCTTGTGCTTTTTAGTGGTTACTTAGTAGCCTGAAAATAGGAAACAGAATGGAAGAAAGGGGAAAAAGATAATTTCAACTTTCCCTTCGTGCTTTAAAATATGCCCAAGTTAATCTTATTGAAAGTACTAAAGATTATTTAAGTGGGTGATTATTTCTGGAGTGTCAAATTATTTTTGACTCCCTCTCCATTCTAACTTCAAAGGCATTATTACCAGTAGAGTTAGCTAACATAGCTTCCTGAATTTTATTATAGTGTTCTTAGTTTTCTCCACTACTGTCAACATACATGTAAATGTATATACTTGTTTATAATAGTATAATTTGTGTAGTTTCTTAGTTATACATGGTAAAAGTTTTTCATGTTTCTAATGACTTTCACAGCCATCACTTAATAGCTGAATCACAGATCATCTTTTTGACATCTGGTATGTTTTCTGTTTATCCAAAAATGCTATGTAAGGACTTGGGCTATGGCTTGATATTAGAGCTCTTGCTTAGCATTTGTAAGGCCCTGGCTTCAATCTTCAGCACTGTATTTTGTTAAATAAATGAATAAATAAATAAATAAATAAAGTTTAATTATTTCCTGATTGGCATACAATAGAAGAAAAACATAATTTTCAGATTTGTTGTGGGAGAAAAGCATCTTCATAACTCACTTATTTATCCAAAATAGATTATGAAAAATCTTCAGAAGCACATAAAATGCTTTATTTTCTCTCCCTCTCTGTATTGTTTCTATTCTTTTTGTTTTAAATGATGCTGAGGATTGAACCTAGGGCCTTAGGCATGCTACGCAAATACTTTAACTCTGACGTATAGCTCCAGCCCTAACCTGAGGTTTTAAAAGACACACTGTAAATAACATCTTAAGCTTTTGTCTGCTATTAGAGAATGGGGAAAATGAGCAATAGCTAAGTAGGACAAATGTGTCAGTTCTTCGATTCTCTCTGACAAATCTGACAGAACTATCATGACATGATATGCCTTGCTGAGGTTCTGATGCAACCAGAAGACAAAAACTGGAGGGCATGGAGTATGCCTTATTTTTTAGAATAATCCATGACATGATAATCTATACTGGTAGCAGTCAGCTGGGGCCTTCCTATGGCTGGTTCTGGCTTCTGTACTTTGAGAATATTAAGTGTTGGACTAACTACTCATCTTTTTTCCCTGCTGTCGTAACACTATTATTCAAACCCTGTCTTCTGTTGGTTAAGTTCCCTGGTAATTATTAGGCTTCCTTAGAGTTCTAATCCTGTCTTATTGCCCACTGTAGCTACTGGGTTTCCCCAGGAGTTTTCTGAGAAAATGTTGGTGCTAAGTTCTGAGTACTTAAGTACTTTTTCTTGGTGCCTTCGAACTTGAAGCTAATTAAGTGAATCTGATAGTTTATATCTGTCAGTTATTTTTGTATTGACTGTTTATAACAGAGGGCGTTTGTAGACTTCAGATAATTAAGACAGGCAAGGAATTATCTTGCAATATGTTTGAGTTTATATTTATACTTATTTACTCTGAAACTAGTGCCATGTTTAGTATCTTAGTGTGTTAATTTTGAATTTCATGTTTTAGTTCTGTCTGGTGTTTTCACTATGGCATGATTTTTTTTGTATTTCATATTTCTGTAGTAGAAATATTATAAAAAATAAGCAATGCATGGCATAGTAAGAATGTTTACATGTCACTGAGAGACTAAATGTATTCCTATTGTTTTTGTAGTTTTAATTTCATATCCAAAAATGTATGGAAAAATAATATTTTTTTTGTTCACATACAGAAAAGATGAAAAGGAATATGCGTTGAAGCAAATTGAAGGCACAGGAATATCGATGTCGGCCTGTAGAGAGATTGCAGTAAGTACATTTAAGTAATTGTTATTTCCTTATTATCACTGTTTTCATTTTTTTGAGGCAGGGTCTCCCTGTAGCCCCAGCTGGCTTTAAACTTGATATGTACCCCGGACTGCCCTTGATCCCAGAGATCCACCTTCCTAGGCCTCTGCTTCCCAACTTTATTTTGTTACTGATACTGAATGATGATTTATTTTAATGTGAACATTTCACTAATGTATACAGCACATGGGAATTTCACAGACTTAATTTAGGAATATTTCATATGAAATGGGACCATCTTTTTTTCTTTAAAATAGGGTCTCACAATGTAGCACTGACTGGTCTAGAACTTACTATGTAGACCAGATTGGCCTCCTACTCACAGAGGTTCACCTGCCTCTGCCTCCTGAGTGCTAAAATTAAAGGCATGTGTCAACATGCCCAGCCTTAAAATGAGAACATCTATAAAGTTTTTTTGAAGTTTTTATTTATTTTTAAAAATATTTTGTTATTTTTATTTCATGTGTGTGAATGTATTGCCTGCATGTATGTGAGTGCACCCGTGTCATGCAGTGCCATGGAGGTCAGAAGAGGGCTTCGGATTTCCATGGAACTGGAGTTAAGGACAGTTTGTAGCCGCCATGTGGGTGCTGGGAATCGAACCCGGGTCCTCTGCAAGAGCAGTCAGTGCTCTTAACTAAGGACAGTTTAGCCGCCATGTGGGTGCTGGGAATCGAACCCGGGTCCTCTGCAAGAGCAGTCAGTGCTCTTAACTGCTGAGCCATCTCTCCCGCCCCAACTTTTTATTTTTATTTTATGTGTATGAGTCTATAGCTTACATGTATGTAAGTGCACCTATGTATGTAAATGCCCATGGAAGCCAGAAGAGGGTGTCAGATCCCCTGGAAGTAGAGGGTTGCTAGCTGCCATGTGGGTGCTGGGATTTGAACCTGGGTCCTCTGCAACCAGTGCTCTTAACTATCTCTTCCAGCCATAAAGTTTTAAAAATACTTGAAAGTCATCTTTGAACATTTTCTTTTTTAAAAAAATTATTTATTTAATCACATGCTTAGAAGAAGCACTTTATTATAACAGTATTGACATATTCAATAACAATTTCCAGAGCTAAGATGCATCCCTTTCAAAATTGGCTGTAAATTTTTAGGTTTACAGTTGAATTAATCCAGTTATACAATATTGTACTCAGTATAAGCCCTATAAGACATAAAATTGAATGAGTTTTTGGGTGTGGTGGTGCATGCCTTTTAATCCCAGCACTTGGGAGGCAGAGGCAGGTGGATCTTTGTGAGTTCGAGGCCAGC